AGCTGTCACTGTAGCCGATCTTCCAGTCATTTCTATTGTTACTCATGGCGTTAAAACTGCGCTCCTCTTCGGCGCTGTCGTAGTTGTCTTCGTTATAGAACTGATCCATCGCTGAAATGGCCGATAAAGTCGTCTCATTTAGATTATCCACATTTCCTAACGATATGTTTGTCTGCACTCTAGGGGTCGACGACAAAGAGGCCGACGAGTGGTTCCGTTTAACACTTCGTTTCTCTCTCTTTTTGCGGTCCAATGACTTGTCTTCGACGACAACGATATCCGAGTCGTCGGACGAGTCGTTGATTTCAATCAAATCGATTTCATTTGTATTGTCGTTGAATACAAAGTCTTTGTCCATCTCGTCGTCACTCACATCCAGTTTGTGGTCCAAAAGTCTAAATAAATTATTTAACGGAGTCTTGGATTGGCTTTCGTTGGTCTGCGGCTGTAATCGCTGTTTCCCAGCCATCGGACTGTCTTTGGACACGCTTTCGGTTCGAGCATTGTCTTCATCGGCGGTCAACTCTTCACCATCTGTGGCGTACGAGTGGTGTATCGCGCCATAGAGGGCTACCTCCACATCCGAGTTGATCTCATCTGAATTGTAATCGCCATTGTCTTCGCTGTCCGTCAAGACGTCCATCGGTAGTGAATCCGTAAACATATCATTCAATTAACGCTAAATTCAACACAAAATTCAATGAATTCAACGACAAAAACATTGTTTTGCTTTTCAATTGCCATTCAATGCGATCAACATTTTAGATGAAATACACGTTTTTCACTATGTTTTTAATGCTATTGCCCTTTAATAGTACAGTTTGTGCCTTATTTTTGTTCATACAATAAATACTAAACCAATGCATTGTTTCCACAAATTCTTTAAATGCAATGTTTTATTTCCATAAAAATTGGTTTTAAAAAGCCATACAATAAATACGGCTTTAAATAGTTTTATACATTTTAATCATTATATCTATAAATAATACCAAAAGAAAACAATCAAATCAATTATAATCACATCATATAAACAGTTATCAAAATTAAAGTGAATTAAATGCAAAAACGAGAGAAAGAGTACTAAAAATGGGATCAAATTGTGGGCCAAAGTGTGGAAAGAGTGGACGTATAGTATGTTTGGCCCGAAAGACAGGCAGAGGTTGTGTTAAAGACCGGCATTTGTGTCGAGAATTGAAACAAAAAGAGATCACGTTTTGAGACAAAACACAATCACATCTGCAATGGTGTCCGACATGAAGGAGGATCTGAAGATGACTTCAATGAACAACTCTGTCAATGGAAGTAATGGCGACATTGGGATTGTCGTCCGCCGCGGACTCATCGATGGCAAAGCGGATCTTCTCAAACAGATCGGATCCCTGTATCTGAATGAGAGCGCCAGCGATATCGGCCTCAAAGTGGAGGGACAGGTCCTGCCGGCCCACAAGTGTATTGTCGCCACTCGTTCCCAATACTTCTTCAAACAGATCTACGGCTACTCTCCCGACGACATGTCGGCCGGCGATCAGCGCACCAGCGGTAAGCTCTCGAAGGCGGGATCCACTCTCGAGATGTTTGGCACCACCGCTAACGCCTTGAAACTGGTGCTGAAGTACTTGTATTTCGGCGAACTCGTGGTGGAAGAGCTGTCGCTGGATCTGG